GTTGCTTTTCATTAATTGAGCAACATTTGCTAAAATAAGCGCCAGTCCCAGTCTGCTGGGCTATAGGCCTACAACGATATAGTGCGATATAGTTTACATCACATTTACTGTTATACTTTCACAGAAGCTCAAGGCCAGTAGCGGATCTAGAAGCTGTGAATAGGGGAGGGGAGGGGGTCAAATCTAAGGCGCCATCCATAATCCCACCCCACAGTGGATGTCAACAAAACACTGGCTCTAATACTGGGCGTCCAGTTAGAACATAGATCCTATTGTCTATATAGTTATTCGCCGATCGTTATCTCACCGGAAAGCAGTTTTATATTCAAGTTGACATAAAGTTTATGTCATATTATGATTGTTATTGATTTTGCTATTAATTTTGTGTGAACCTTATGGGCAGTTACTACAACGCTGAGTAACTTGAAGTGGAGAAATGAAATGAAATGGGGTTTAACGTCCTACTATTTCAGTCAATATCCTGACATTTGGGATCATTGCTGGGAGGGGGAGGGGCACATTCTTGTTAACGAGAGGATCAGAAATAACAGTCAATGGGGCAGAATCTCGAGATCAGTCTGTCAATTCCGCCTGATTTGTGAGAGTTGACAGAACAGTAACAGTCTGTCGAACAACGAACTAGTGGTACTAACTGAGTGGTTCACTATAACCGTGAATATATATAGTGATGAGATAGTATATATAAGACCACAGAGTCGTGGAAGAATGATGCCATAATATAATTGAGTGCCCTAGCCGTGAAAAAATATCAGATAGCAACGTATAATATATAGTAGTAGTAAAGTTGTTTATTTCAGTGACATGTATTATACAAAGAAGACATGTGAAAATCAATATAAAATACTAACAAACGGCCCATTGGACCTATATGTCACTATTTAATATACACAAATTAAAGGGACTATCCCGATATCAAGAGAGTCTCAAAAATAAAAGTCGGAGTACGTATGAAATTAAAGCGCCAAAATATAGAGGAATGGGATATTTACCTTCTCTCAAAATTCCAGCTCAAAATATTGAGTCGTTTGGACGTGAATGTCAAAATTGCTTATCCGGACACGTAACCCTTTTAAGATTACGGGTCAGTTTTTTCGTTGGGTGACCTGATAATCGATTCCCGTTCCTTGAGAGGTCTATGTAGTGAATGACCCATGTGCTGTACTTTATAACGAAAGGTAAATTTCAACTACAAGTTATTTTTATAAAATAAAAGTCTGGTTTTATCCAGACACCGCAAAATACAGCTTGGGACACCGGCCTGCCTGCCAATTCCTCCAGTTTTTTAAGAGTTGACAGAACATTTGTACAGTCTCAATAGTGGTACTACTAAGTGGGGGATTCAGTATAACAGTAAATATGATAGTATAAGACACAATGAAATGAAATGGGTTTAACGTCCTACTGTTTTTCTCCGAACTGGGCTAATGAAGATGGGCATACGCCATACAGTGTGCTATGAGGGAAATTTTGCCCGGACAGCGGCACTACGGCCTACTCTTATAACGAATTCCAACTGTCAAGGGATCTTTACGTGCACGCCAATGGCTACACGGGACCTCAGTTTTTCGTCTCATCCGAATGACTAGACAGCTGTCCTTGCCAGGTCCTCCGTCCTGCATCACTGACAAGGGGGAACCACGCCGGAAAATCTGAGTGATCTTTTTCGGCCAATGCAGGGATCGAACACCCGACCTCCAGGCTAGCGAGCCAAGGTCTTACCCACCGTGACCCCCGATAGTTTAAGACAACAGAGGAGTGGTAGAATGGTGACAATGGAATAGAGCGCCCTAGACGCGAAAATAGTTCAGATAGCGACGTATAATAACTGAGCTTTTAATTTTTTGGGACTGGGTCTGAGGGGACTTTGTCTCAAGGGGCGATTACTTAAAAAATTTCATATAGCGATATAATAGTATAAGATAATAGAGGAGTGGAAGAATGATGACAAATGAATGGAGCACCCAAGGCGCGAAAATTATTCAGATAGCGACGTATAATAACTGGGCTTTTAGTTTTTTGGGGACTGGGCCTGAAGGGACTTTGTCTCAAGGGGCGATTACTTGGTCTCATGGGGCGCCCCCCCCCTCCCGCCTGCAATTTGGTATGGTCAAAGATCAATACATTCACGGCACTGTTTGTAGTTTTGAAAAGATGTGTGCATTGTGGTAACCAGGGCACTGGTATATTCGAGACTTAGCCTCGCAGTCCCATTTTTAAATTGAATTTTTAAATGGCGAACCGTTCTAATCTAGTTAAAATCTCAAGTACCCGATGCCATCGAGAGTTGATTATTATCTTGTTTTGTTAATAAATGTCTAATTAAACATACATTACGCAAGAGCTAAATCGAGACTATGTTTTTATCGTACCGATTTAAGTAATGATGATCGAGGCTAGGCCGAAAATTCAATCGCCAAATTCTCTGTTCAGGGGGGGGGGGATGGCCGAATGGTTAGCACGTGCGCGCTGTATCATAAGGCCTGTCATTGAGTCAACTGGCGTGGTTTCGAATCCCCGGTTGTACGTGACAAGGATTAGGGTCGCCTGTCCAACTTCGTGGGTTTTCTACGGGTCCTCCGGTTTCCTCCCACTGCTAAAGATAAAATTAAATTAAAACATATGTTAGTCCCGAAATGACCTAGTTTGTGTCGAGCGGACGTTAAACCCCATTTCGCTTTCTTTCGGTTCAGAGTGGATCAATTTGACTGAAATTTCCAACAAATTGCCTTTACATTATCTAGTTTTTAGCTATTATAGCGAGAACTGCCAGCTCTTCATCTAATCTCCCATAATTTATCTTTACTGGTTTATATAACATTTCAGGCCTAAAGAAAGACCTGAAATAGTCAGATTTAGCTCTTGCATAATGTATGTTTAATTTAGAAGAATAAAAAGTTCCATTGTCCATTAGGAAATCACAACATAAGAAGACCAAACCCAAATAACATTTTATAGCTAGACGGTCGCGTTAGTACTATAAACGTTCAAATGGAAAGCAGGGCCAGTGGAAGCAATTCTTGATTGGGGGGCTACCATCCTAGGTCTTTAGGCGAGGGTCCAGGTTCCGCCTAGGTCACGGAAGCTCTTGGGGTCTAGATCTTCGGAGCCGCTTACTGAGCGATTTCTGGCTACTAAAATTACTCAGAAATGAAGTGACATTTTATTTCTTTTCTATAACTCCCTTACCATGAAAACACAATATATGGTGGTTCAATCCTGTGATGCCGACCTTGACAAATATATGCATAATAATACCACATTACAATTAATTTAGCTTGTGGAACCTGTAGAAGTCAGAGTTTATATTTGATTGTAAACACCGTTCAATATTTTAATAGATAGTTACTTGCGTGCAATAACCTGCAGGAGAAAGGAGTACGCAATTGGCTTGGCCTGGACAGAAAATAATTATTGATACCAAAATGTTTTCTAACTCCTTCTATTATTTCTATTTGCGTTATTTGTCTCGATGCACTGGCGGCGCTAGCCGCCTGTGGTTGGAGGAGAAAAGCTGGGGCAAAGTTCAAGGTTAAGGGGGCAAAGGCGGGAGATCCAGAAAATTTTGAAACATAGATTGCGGGAAATGCAGTCTTAACAGTGTTTCGCGGCACTATCGCCGAGATAAATACCGCCAGTCGCTTAACCACTATAGTTTATCCGACCAGAACGAAAAGTGTCAAAAGAACCTCGACGAAGCACCATCATGAACGCCAAAGTAGCGAGCCCTTACGGAGGGTAGTCCCTATGGAGAACCTCCCACAGAACATTTTGAAAAATAGACTGTAGGAAATGCAGTCTGACAGTATTCAGGCACCGATTGTCAAGATAAATAGAGCTGGCCAGATACCACCCGGCACTAGTTTAGTCGACCAGAGAATGAAATTGTCAAACGAACGGACTTGCCAACCTCAATGAAGTCCCCAAAAATTTGAAAAAAAGACTGTCGAAAATGCAGTTTGGCAGTATTCCAGGCACTTGTCGAGATAATAGAGCTTACCAGATACCGCTTGTCGCAAAATCACAGTTTATCCGACCAGAGAGGAAAGTGTCTTTCACGACCGGAGTGATCGAGTAAATCAAAGTGAATGAATATTTTCACCACGATATTTTGAGAAGTAGACTGCCGGAAAAGCAGCCTGGCAGTATATGTCTCTATGGCCCATGCAGTGGGAATGTGGGATTTTCATCGTATAAGGTAATGATTATCAAAACATATCACAAATATTTTTTTATTCTTAATATTATTTGGGGGTGGGGGCGGCAAACAGAGGGCAGGCCATATTTTTGGGAGGGCATGCCCCCCACCCCAACCATATGGTGCCGCCACTGCCTCGGTGGTAGATAACAAATCTTATCTCTCAACGTTTATAGTAGACGTTTTTAGCTACATTCTCGTAGCTACCTGTCGAGTGGACGTTAAACCCCATTTATCTCTCTCTCTCTCGTAGCTACCCATAATATTAGGCTATCACAGAGAATTTGTAGGCCTACTCTGTGATATTATTATGTTCAAGATCAGATAAGATAAGATAAGATCATTATTATGTCCATTAAGGGAGAGAGAGAGAGAAATGGGGTTAACGTCCACTCGACACAAACTAGGTCATTTCGGGACTAACATATGGTTTAATTTTATTTACATAATTCGCTTGCGCGTAGGGGTCTTTAGCAGTGGGAGGAAACCGGAGGACCCGGAGAAAACCCGGAGAAAACCCACGAGGTTGGACAGGCGACCCTACTCCTTGCCACGTATGTACAACCGGGGATTCGAAACCACGCCACTGTCGACAGTCGACTCAATGACAGACTTTATTATGATACAGCGCGCGCACGCTAACCATTCAGCCATCCAATCCCCCCTTGTTCATAAAGGACAGTATACAATATGAACAGATATCGTATGACAAATAATAGATATATACATGTATTTACAAACAAGACAAATGATAATTTTATCTAGGTTACACATTTACTAACTGGACAAATGCTATGCCGTTGTGCGCATGACGGAAATTTAACCCACGTGGATCTTCCATAATTTGTAAATTGTAAACATTGAAAACTCGAAGGAAGTTTTTCTATTGAATTTTGAATAATAATGGCATCACGTCGTCGAAAGGTACTTGACCTCAAGAAAGAAGAAACTGCTGAACAGAATGGCGCCATCGAAAACAAAATCAAAAAGTCTAAAAAGGTATTTTTGTCGTCAATAACGAGAAAGTGTAGCGGATGTGTGTTTTTTTTTTTTACAGAGCTACTTTCACTTTTTTTCGTGAAACTCAATGTCATCCAAAGTCTTCGACATTAAAAACACGAAATTATACCCCCCCCCCCCCATTTTATTTCCATTTTATACCATTAAAGGCGGTAATCGGCAGATTTGGACCTGTCTCATTCAGATCAGATTCTTCGCTGATATTTTATTAGGCCTAGTGAAGTAAAAATGGGGTCTCTCCCAATTAACACAATGGGTCTCTATTATTACCTATCGTATCTATCTAGATATCCCTACCCACTATACGCCTAGATGGCCGCATGGGTCAAGGGGTGTAAATAAATTCAGACAGTTAAACTCACATCACACCAACTGACCAAGCAGCTGTACTGATGCTCATTGCTCAACCATTGTGCCGTGAGATCTTCATAAGAGTAAGTGTGCCGCGAAATTTTGAACGGCACATAAAGAAAATGCGAAAAACCATGTGATCCAAATTGGGTATTCACTGGTGTATACTGATTAGTTTTTTTATGGCTGTGTTTTTCTTTATTTAGTTTGTCGTTCTATGTGTCTATGACTTGTCTCTGTCTACGGTTGTATGCCGTCTGTCTTGACATTTGTGTATGTCGTTATTTTTCCATGTGTTCCAAAGTGTGCTGTTGGCAAAAAAAGGGTTGAGAACCACTGATTTAATACTATAAAGCTATCATGCAACACATAAGTGTAAAAATACGGTATATCAAGGTTGTGGACCCTATAGAGGTCACAATTTTTATCCAATTTTGTTGAAACTTGAAACGTAAGTTTATAACCCAGAGATCTCGGTTCCTTTTGATATTCACGCATATCGGACCGTAACTTCCTGAATTATGGCCCCTGATTGTACGAAAAATCGCGTTTTTAGTTTGTGGACCCTATAGAGGTCATAATTTTTATCTGATTTAAAAAAATGTATCATTATATCATCGTTACACCTTAAGGACGGCTGAGTTTGAATTTCGTGAAAATCGGCCCAAAACTGACAGACAAAATGGCCGCCCTTCGTTCTCAAATAGCGTAAAAATATGGTATATCAAGGTTGTGGACCCTATGGAGGTCACAATTTTAATTCGATTTTGTTCATATTTGAAATGTAAGTTTATAACATCTTTGTTCCTTTCGATATTCGCGCATATCGGACGGTAACTTCCTGAATTATGCCCCCTGATTGTACGAAAAATCGCGTTTTTAGCTTGTGGACCCAATAGAGGTCATAATTTTTATCCGATTTTAAAAACCCTATTATTATATCACCGTTACACCCTAAGGAGGGCTGAGTTCGAATTTCGTGAAAATCGGCCCAAAATTGACAGTCAAAATGGCCGCCGTTCGTTCTCAAATATCGTAAAAATACGGTATATCAAGGTTGTGGACCCTATAGAGATCACAATTTTTATCCGATTTTGTTAAAACTTGAATTTTTTTTTATTTCATTTCAGTATAGGCCTACCGTATGTTTGAATGTTTTGACAAGATTTATTTAGCCTAAATTACAATGTTTTGAGAAGGATTTGAAGCAAAATTATGACAAATTAATTAGTTTGAATATGTGTTTAGTCCTATTATAATACCATAAATCACCCAGTTTGTACACAGGAATGTATCTTTAAATAGGCATAGGTACATGTACTATTGGATTGCTATGATAATATTAAACAAAGTCTCGGATACCGTACGTCCAATTAAATGGCATGGGTGCTAAATATTTAAGAAAAGATTTTTATTGACTCATCTTAAACTGGTAAACACAATATCAATATGCATTGCACATCGTCATAACATCACAACAATATTCATAAAATTTAGGTTACCGGTACAATAATTTACATACCTGTAATTAATTAAGAAATAGATAAATATGGTATATCAAGGTTGTGGACCCTCTAGAGACCACAGTTTTTATCCAATTTGGATGAAACTTTAAATATATGTTTTTATCATTAAGATCTTGGTTCCTTTTGATAATTATTAACATTAGTGTTACTTTGCTCTTATTTTTTGAAAAAATTTTCACAAGTTGATTTCCTTTATTTTGTTAATGTAGAATGGTAACGAACTGCCCTTTTCATTTTCTTTGTTTTATTTGTTTCGTTTGAATTTGATTTATCTGTTTAGTTTTTGATTGTTTAATTTTTGTTAATGAAGTTGATTCTTTTAAACTTCGTTTTTATTTTTGAACTCTACTTGGTGTAGCTGTTCATCAGGTAATACCTCGACTGAGTTCAATATTGAGATTAGCCGGTTGATTTGTTGGATATAAACCTTTGAATAATAGCGCCTAACAGGCAGCTGTGTTTAATTATGTTCTCCTGATTTTGATTGTTTCTGTGTGTTTGAAGTATATGTTTGTGATATGCGCTTAGAAACACTTCACGTGTAATGAAGCGCTATATAAATCGAACAATAATAATAATAATAATAATAAGCATATAATACTATAAAACTACCATTCAACACATAAGAATATATATACAATCAAGCACTATAGTATATATATAAATCAATCTGATTAAATACAGATCTATGTTTCGTTTCGGTTTTTTTATACTTTTGATGGCCTACACTACATGAAGATCTGACAAGTTATAGTGGGAGTTCACATCAGCAGGGGTCAAGCGAGCAGCTTTTGACCCCATGATGTCAGACATTAATTAATCAGCAGTGACGTTTCTAGTGGTTTACCCACAGTTCCATGTACCAAAAGGCCAAAAGCTTATCGTAACAGACCGTTTCATTGGCTAATCCCTCACATCAGCCAGAACACGTCAATGATAACAACTCTTCCAGATCCTAGTGTAGTAAAGACAAGTAAAACGAAATTTTGAACTGTAAAAACGAAACGAAAAAGGATCTGTTTTAATCTGTATTACTGGTGTCTATTTTTAGCTCTGGAAGACTGGCTGTATTGTTCATGTGTCTTAAAAACGTGGTAAATGCTAGGGAAAACGAGGTTTTCAGTATTTTTCTCGGTATAGAAAGACATATTCTTGAACGCCACTTTTGTTATAAGTTGTACATAGCATTCGTAACAAATCAGTGCTTTTATATCATGTCTAAATCATTTTTTTATACGCCCACATTGAAATGTGGTCGTATTGTTGTCACCCCTTCCGTCGGTCCGGCGTCCCCATTTGCTTGTGGACGCTCTATAGGCTAAAGTTAATATCTGATTGACTTTAAATTTATACACAGTGTTTAAGGTCATAAGACGAAAAAGCCTAATTACTGTCGGAGTTATGGCCCTTGATCACTTCAAAAAATCTTGTGGACGCTCTAGAGGTCCAAGTTAACAGTGTTTAAGGTCATGAGACGAAGAAGCCTATTGATTTTCAACGATTTTCGATAATTACTGCCAGAGTTATGGCCCATGATCACTTCAAAAAATCTTGTGGGCCCTCTAGAGGCTAAAGTTAATATCCGATTGGCTTTAAATTGATACACAGTGTTTAAGGTCATGAGAGGTAAAAACCTATTGATTTTCAGCGATTTCTGATAATTTTTGCCAGGGTAGAGTTATGGCCCTTGATCACTTTGAAAATTCTTGTGGACGCTCTAGAGGCTAGAGTTAATATCCAATTTATACACAGTGTTTAAGGTCTTGAGACGAACAAATATATTGATTTTCAATGAATCTTTATGACTTGAACAGCTAAATCCATGATGTTAAAAGTTTTGTATACTAAACGTTAGCATGGGGCAGAACTTTATAAAAACCAAACAAATTCTAATGGTTTTATGATAATTACTTAAATGAGTTGTTACTCTTAATCAGATTTTAATGTATTATAAATGTTTCATTACCTAAAAAAGTAAAAATATGCGACAACTCTTGTTGACTGCTCGGACGATATAGCTGCTGTGGGCGTATGTTTCCTTGCCTGGCAACCTATCTTTGTTGTTTTAATGACGATATATACTGTGCTGTAGCAGACGATATGCCAACCTTGCACACAGTCCAGTCGACCGCTGTATGTAAGAGCTTAAACCAAGATGCATTGCTGTATGAAGTCGATTTATATGTTTTGTGTTAATTTACTGCAAACAGTTATAGATATATTATGGAAGAGTTGATAAAGAGCTGGCAGTTCTCACTATAATTGTTAAAAACTAGATAATGTAAAGGGAATTTGCTAAAATTTCAGTCAAATTGATCCACTCTGAGCCAAGATTTTAGCGATTGAATTTTTGGCATAGCCTCGATCATCATTACTAAAGTAGGTACAATAAAAAACATAGTCTCAATTATCCATTTCATGATTAATTCATGAATGGAAGTCGAACAGGAAACCTAATCCAATAAACATCGCAGGTTAGCGATGACATCGAGAGTTGCTTATGGTCTGGATAAGTCAATTAATGTCTAATTAATAATTTAGATAACATTTAGATAAGACATGCAAAAAGCAGATTTAGCTTTTGCATAATGTATGGTTAATAGATAACATCTGTTTTAACAGGTGTAAAATGCCAGGAAATAGAGCATTAGAGTTAGAAAGGTGACCTGCGTTTCTACGAAAGAATTCAAGACAATTTCAAAATTTGCACGGCCATAGCACATCTAAATAAAAAAAATAATATAATCACTTTGGAAATAAAAATAATCCTGTATAGAATACATCAAAGCCAGTTATATATTTTCATTCAACAGTCTATCTGTGAACCAAATACTGAATTTGAAATTTTGATAAATGGGACACAAATGTGTCATTCTTGTTTGCGACAATGGAGATATACTGACGGGATGTTTTTAGATTGTTCTTTGTCCATCTCTTGCAAAATGGGGTGTATCTGGCATGGCAACAGCTTGTTTTTGATAGTTCTGAAAAATAAACAAAATCAATGGAAGATCAAAGCTGTTTCATGCCAACCAATCTTTTGATAGGGTTGATTCACTTTATCATACATATCGTAATTACATTTCATGTGGATAACATCAA